CCGCTCGCCGTCTTCGCGAGCCCTGGCCAGCCAAGCGCGCGGGTGGTTGAGCAAGGCAGGTCGTCGTAGGTATTTAAAAGGAAGATGGTTGGTATGGCGAGTCTTTCATTTTAAATAAATTCTGCTTTCTACTGGAAAACACAGAGGGAGAAAAATACCCTTCCCATCGTCCCATCAAGAAGTTGACTGTGCGTGCGCTGATGGTAACTTCTAGTCTTTATGCTGACTGAAGGCAGACGTGATGTTGTGTCTTTGAGGACTACAGTATCTTCCTACTTTGTTTAGATGGTATCTCAAGGGGTTGCTGCAGGCTGGTGTTGCTGTTGATGTAGTTTGGGTTCTGACTGACCTTGAAAGGTCTGAGAGGAAGGTGTGACTTTGGATTTATTCTTTTTTTCCCACGTTAGCCTAGCAGTTTATGTATCTTTTGAGGTTTTCAGCCTTCTTCCTGCAAAAGGTGACTTTTTAATGAGATTAATAAATGTGTTTAGTAGTGTCGCTATCTGTTGTAGTTGCTTAGCTTGCATTGCATGTGCATTCAAGGCCAGCTGTGAGATGCTGTAACCTGTAGCGTACATCCAAGTTTTTCCACTCCTTACCTGTTTGGCAGCGTGGGTTGTGTTAGCGCTAATTCCTACCAGAGTAGCTCAGAGAAGGCACAGAGTTGTCCCGTTCTGAACTTGTTTGCAGTTTCCAGGAGAGAGAGGTCTACGGAACATAGAGCCAGAGGAACAGCAGGCCAAAATCCATTCCCCCCCGCCCCGACTGCAGGCCACTGAGTTAAATTTGGTACAGTGTATCCTTAAGCTATGTTTTCATGACAACATGGTGGCAATAAGACATGGCACAGGATGCGCCAAGTAATGATTTCTGGTAAAGACCTTGCTTACAACAGGCTCGCATGAAGCAGTTGTGTGGCTTGCAGCTAATTGAAGATACACCGATGCTCTGTTCTTTGGGCTTGTATTAAACTAGAGGGAAAATAGGTTTGCATTGGATGAGTAGAGTGAAAGAGGCTGGGTAATCTGGTTCAGTAGCGGTGCTGCTGTGAGTACCGGTGATGGTGTGGTACTATTGTGACACTTCTATAGCGCAGATTTTCTTCGAACTCTGTCAAGAATGCAATCTTTTATAAAATATTAGTGCAGACAGGTTTCTCAAGACCGTCACTTCACTGCACGTGCTGTTCCCCTCCCCACTCGGTGTAACTGCTCACCCAGAGCCACCAATGACAAGAGTTGAAAGAGCCTCAATCTGGAATGCTGG